AAGAATAGGAATAAGAACTGGTTGCCTCCCATTTGCAACTTGGCAAAACGGGAAGGCAGACACATGAACAAAAGCCGGTCATATTGCTGCCAGAACTGAGTGACACAATCTCGGGGGTACAAGCAGATCTTGGCCCATCATAGCAGTGCTGTAGGTAAACCATTTTGCACATGAGGGCCTCATTTTCTATTTTCTATCTACCTACCTCCTATCTCAAAGGTCACAGAAGATATAGCCACTGACATTATGCTAGGCTGAATTTTTTGCAGGCTTTTGCAGCAGGTGATTTAAACTCAGAATGTTAGCAATATATTTATTTTGAAATTGGTTTGGACTTAATGTCACACATTCAACGGTTGAAAAACAATGCCCCACCCCCACCCCCCACCCCCGGGTGGAATCTTGGCAGCACCGTTTAAGGTGTTGGGAGGGAAGGGTAGGTGTAAGGAAAGATTACCATTTTGGTAATAATGCCAGTTATGGAAAAACTTTTCAGAGAGGCTAATCTAAAGTATTTTTAAACAGCTTTTAGCACTTAGGTCTTTGAAATAATAATCTCAGCCTCTCAATAATATATTAATTAGGTTCTAGTTTACTGTGTTCCTTTTTACTCTTGGTACACACAGTTCTACTTCTAACAAATTTAATTTTATTCTGATCCATCCCTCTGCTTTGAAGAGGCATTCTTTCCGAAATTAGCAAGTGGCTTCAAAGATCAAGCTTTCTCACAATGATCTCACTGTCATCCCCAGATGACAATACATTCGCCCACTTTTCCCTCTGTCTCCTACACACAATGTTTGGGAAGCTAGCAATAACTTCCTATTCAAGCAGGTATTGAAAGAAACACATGTAGCTCACAAGTTGAAACAGAACGGACGAACAAATAAGTTTATGTATGCACATGCATTTCTAGTTAATCTAAGATTATTTAAAACAGAAAATATTATCTTCCTTTCAAGTAAATTCCAGTAGCTCTGGGAGAATTTGTTAATTCTGCTATGATAAATTGCTCTTACAAGGTTGTGTATTCTTAATACTTCTTGCATTTTGTATGCTTTTAATTTTCTTTAGGATATCTGGAGGACTTAATTTTGGGTTACTGCCCAACTCCAGGCCAAAACTTATACTATGTATACAAATATTGTGTGGCTGATAATATACATGCACAAACACAATATATACTTATATATAGATAGAAAGAGATCACCTATTCAGAAACTGAACTAATCAGAACTATAGAGTTTACTCTAATTTTTGTATTAAATTAAGGTCAGTTGTTCTGGAAGCAAACATACCATTTCAAAAAAAACCCAGCTTATTCAGGAGCACAGATTAGTCAGTGTTAGCCTGATATCTCAAGAGCAGGGAAGTCTTCTCAATCCCTCACTAAAGAAGCCTTGGATAACTGCTGTCTCTCACTGTGCATCACAACATTAGGATGCTTACTGTGTATACAACACCTGTCTGCAGGAAGTCAGATCTAAGAAACAGATCAGTTGTGCTTAAAAAAAAAAGGGGGGGGGAACATAATGCTCGTATCTTTTTGCTTCTTCCCTACCCCTCTAAACAGCAGACCTTAACTGCAGAGGGCGAACCAAAGGCTCCAGATCTTTTTATGGCATCTCTTTTATTCCACCTCATCCCATTTCAGCCACAACTGCTAAATAATACTAGCATGATGTTGTGCTACTTGTAAGGCGGGAAAATGTAAAAGGCTTTTGCAGTGCTTATCTATATTTCCAATAAGGAATGCCCATACTCTCCTGTGTGGGGACAGGGCCACCCAATGCCCTTTCTTGCAGCAGTTAACATTTGCTACTAAGGAAGGTCCGTCCAAACTGGCTTCTTTAAAATAGCAGATAGATCTGTCTGTCTGTCTATCTTTTTCTTAAACTTACTGGATACATTTTAATATTTTAACACTGTACACCACTTTGTGAGCTGTAACACTGAAAGGTGATCTATATATAGAAAGAAGTGAATAACGAATTAGTGAATTAATTACACTGGCCTCGATCCAAAGAAACATGATGGAATCAATTGGTTCATTCCAATGACCCAGAGCCAATTACCCAGAGAAGGTGATAGCCTCCCCTTCACTGGGCGCATTCAACCAGATAGCCATCTGTTAGGGATGTTTTAATTTGGATTCCTGAACTGAGCAGGAGGTTGGACTCAGTGGCCTAAATTGTCCCTTCTAGCCCTGTGATTTTATGAAAAGGAATGACATGTTTCCTTTGTACAGTGAGTTCCAGCAGTCCATTGTGCAAACAAGATAGCAGTTCTATAAGAAAAAGAGCAAGTAAAGTTGTAGTAAATGAAGTCTAGTGAATCATAGAAGAAATGTTCTAGACCCAAGAGATACTCTTATCACATGCTTATCTCTTGCCCTTCTTCTCTATGTTAGAACTGCTTTCCATATTCAAGGGACTACCGTATTCCAGTATGAGAAAAACTACTGCAACTTGGAATAGGAGTTGTGGATAGAAATGAAGCTTGTTTGATTTTTTTTTTAAAAAAATTGCCCTCTAAATAGAGAAGTGAACTGCTGCTGGGGCAGGATGAAGGAAAATGCAACATTTCATAACTTCTTCCAATTTTGAAGTGCCATAAGTGGGTAAAGCAACCTGGGCCAAGGAATGGGCAAACCCACAAAGAAGAGGTGTGTGTGTGTGTGTGTGTGTGTGTGTGTGTGTCCCCAACCTATTCTCCAAATCACCTGAAGACAAAACAAGAAGCAATGGATGGAAAACTAATCAAGAAGAGAACCAACGCAGAACTAAGGAGAAATTTCCTGTCAGTTAGAATAATGTATCAGCGGAATGGCTTCCTTCCAGAAGTTGTAAGTACTCCAACACTGGAGATTTTAAAGAAGAAATCAGACAACCATTTGTCTAAAATGGTGTTGGGTCTTCTGCTTGAGAAGGGAATTGGACTATAAGACCTCCAAGAGCCCTTCTAACTCTGTTTCCTGCTATTCTGAATGTGGGTGGGCACTAGAGATAAGGCAGGGGTGTCGTATTTAAAGTTCAGACGCCCTCTTTGTAGCAGCACCTGGGTTGTGAAATGAAGTCCCCTCCCCTCAAAGTCAAACAGGTCCCATTTTGCTGGTCTCATGTAAGGGCCTTAAAGATATCCAGGCTTTTGGAGAGGATAACTAATATTCTTTCATTCCTTCCCTCCTTTTCTGGGTTTACTTTGTTTGCTAATCTTGTTCTTCCACCCTGTATTATTTGTGTGTTTCCTATTGTTCTTTGTTTTTAAGTGTTTCAACAACTGTAACTGTAAACTGTACATATGAATTGAATAAATTATGGTCTGCCACATAGTCAGCCAAATGTTTAGGGTAAATTCAGCATTTTTATCCACCTATTGAGTCCTTTATAAGGACATGGGATAAGCAGATATTGTTTGATGGTGTTAAATGTATTGTTGCAGTATTATTGTACCAGCTAATTACATCTGGAGCAAGCAAAACATTTTTGGACACGATAGTTTAATACAAGTAGTGGGCAAAAAAGGAACAAGGGCCTAGAGGCACCATGGAGTTTCTTTGTAAGGCAAGGCTGTCAAACTCCCGGCCTACGGGCTGGATGCGTCATGTGCTGGCCACGCCCACGCCTGGTTTAGTGAAGGGGAAAAAAGTCCTGATATGTCATGTGACACTGCCATAACGACATGAGTTTGACACCCCTGTTGTATGGGATAAAACCTAACAATCTACTCAAGGAGTAGCCCAGCTTGCCTAGGGAATCTTGCAGCCACATTATAGTTAACAAGCAGGGCTGCGTTATGGCAGCTAACTAAATACATCTGGATAGCCTTGTAGAAAGAACAGGCTTAATGAACACCAGCTGAATAACAGCACGCTAGCCACAACCGCTCCTATATGTTTTGAGAATAACTCAATAGTAGCTGAAACTGGTTATTATCATGTTCTAGCAGAGAGAATTCGGATTCATGGATTCTTTACTGCCTGAATTCCAACCTTTGTTCTCTTATCTTTGCCTCCTGGAACCTTGCCCAGAAGTAGAATGCTTTGGTTTCTGACTTCTGGACCAATTTACCAACTAATCTTCTCTATGTCCCCTTGGCCATGACTAACCCTTTTTGGAATTCGACCTTGGATTATATGTGGACTTGGTAGCAGGCAGCTTTCTGGGCACTTTTGCTCGGATTAAAACATTGCAAGATCAATCCTAAACCTACTTGAGGAATCCAAAGCTAGATGTTGGATGGATGTGCAAAATATATCAATCTGGGAACAGAATGTTCTGTTTCCCTCTGGAGCATGCTGAACCTCCTTCTGGTGGGGGGGGGGGGAGAGAGAGAGAGACAGGGGGGGGGGGAGGGGGGGGGAGGGGGGGGGAGAGAGAGAGAGAGAGAGAGAGAGAGAGAGAGAGAGAGAAAGCGTACAACTGAAACTGGACATGCGAGAGGAAAACAGAGTTCTGTATACTGAGCTGCACATTTTAGATACTTAGTCATATTATAGGATCATAAAATCTCTTATTTATTCTGGGCCAAAATCATATTCAAATTTGTCTAAATGGTACCCTAGGTATTGCTACATTGATCTGAAGAATCGTGGGTAGCCAAAACTTTTAAGGATTCATCTGTTTTCTGACTGTGAGACTGCTCTGAGTTTTCTTTCTCTCGGCTTTCACACACTGTGTATTGTTTTTGGTCCTCAATGGCCATGGTGATACCTTGCAAAATCCCACAGTGGCAACTAAATTTTGAGCTGCAAAATCTCATAGTTATCGTATCATCACCCTTTGCAGCCTCGCAGGAATGCTACGGAGTAAACAAATGTGTAAATGAGAAAGTTGACACGTTTTTTTGGTAGTGCCATTTGAACTGATTCAAAGAAAAAGTAATGACTAGTCAAAGTTATGCTAATAACAATAAAAGGAATGACTGGTGGCAATTCCAAGGCCTAAAGAATCTTTCAGGCAACCTCCTGGTCTAAAAAGAAATGAGAAAAAAGAGCTTACCTCTCCCTGGAAACTCTTCAATAGTGGAGCTGCCTGTTTGCGTAAGTCCTGGAAGATAAAGAGCAAACACATAGATCAAGAAATGGGTCATGAAGAAAGATGGCTAAAAATGCAACTGTGTGAATAAAACTGAAGAGTCTTCATCAGCTATTCCTATCTCCTTTAAAAAAAAAAAACACAATAATTCTATCATATTAGCTGTAGGCTGATTACGTTTTTAATCAAAACATTGCTATGAGCAAGGAATGTAGCAAAAATCCATTTTAACTGGCTTATGAATCTCGCCTGATATACAATTATGGTTGTCCCAGAGGAGGGGAATTAGTTAATAAAAGCCTCTAGTAATATTGAATAATCAGTGAACTCCTTCAGTCTAACAACTCAACTGAAACAGAGCAGTGAATGACTAATGGAATGTAAAACATGTGAAGCCACATGGAAGGGGATCAAGCTAGACCCCAGTTTGAAGCATAGCCTCCTTTTGATGTGCAAGGAATTGGACATTATTTATTTAATGCACATGTAAATCTCAATGTAACAGAAACACGTGGCTTTAGCAGTTCACTTGCTTTTTCCCAGTATACTTATCTTCAAAAACCAATTTCTGTGCAAGTTTAACACTCCTGTGCCAAAAGTTGGTATCACTGTATTTATTACATATTACTGCTGTATAACACACACACACACACACACACACACACACACACTTGTTTCCCAGAGAAGGATGAATGGAAATAATTTCACTCTTGCTATTGTTTATCCCACCACCAATCTGCTGGCAGCCATATATCCAAATTTGTTCCCAGCAAGATTCATGGTACAATTATCTCTACATGGCACTAAATATTTGAACAAGTGCTAGTTAATACAAATGACTGGAACCATTCACGAGTATCATAAATTAAATTAGTAGCATCATTCTTCAAAATATGTATTAGTGTTTGCTAGAAGGAAACAAACAACAAACAAAAAATCAAGGTTGGCAGAACGGGAAGCTTGCTGGTAAAGTGAATAATGAAGCAAGTAATAAGAGGAATATACTTGTTCGTAAACAGATATCCTTCTGTGCAAAAAAACCAACAACCCTATCCTAAATTACAGTGACAAGTTTTAGACAAACTAAATATAATACATTTATGGATTTTAAAAGCTGTTGCTCCTACAGAATCAAAAGCAGGATTAAAACGGGGGTGAAACATTTCAAAGCCTAGATCTTTTAATGATAACCCCAATATATAACAATCCCAATAAAATTTAATAATCCCAAATAACAGACAGTAAAATAATGACAGTAAAATGAAGAAGGCTTACAGAGTATAAAAGAACTGCAATAAAATATACCCTCTGCATCAAACAAGCATAAAATCTTCTTTGTTCATTATTTTTATTACATAGCACAATTCAAAATGTGACAATATGTAGTTTTCCTATAACTATTTCTAGAATTTTACAACACCTTTAAAAATACATTTTATCACTTTGTATGTTTAATTTTCTCCGACTGAAAATATTTAAAGATATGTAAAAATGTTAACTATGATTGAAAACATGGCCATAATTCACTATTTGTATGCGTTATTCTATTGTTTCAGAACAAAACAGGAATAATTTTTCCCTATGTTAAACCAATATTCTCTTTTTACAGTCAGATTGCTGATCCACTTAATCTAGTATCACATATTCTCAAGGGTAGAGGTTCTCCGATCCTTGCTGGCTATAAGAGATAATAAACACCAGTTTGGGACTGGATGGAATATCATTATCCGAGCCTTTTCTGATGGCCAGGCTCAAATTATTATTGAGTAAGACACAAAAGTTTATAAGCCATTTTTGACTGTTCAATATGTCTACATAAATATGGCCTAAATCACTGTCCACTGATGCACCCATCACCATCATAATCAATATAACTTGCTGCAGATTGTCCTTTCCTTCCACTTTCTCAGCATTATGGACTTTTCAAGGGAGTCAAGTCTTCACATTATGTATCCAAAATATGGTAATTTGAGCCTGGCCATCAGAACTCATTTGTTCTATAATCCGCTTATTTTATGATCCCAGCTGTCCAACTAAAGCAAACAGGCACCTCTGTCTGGCACCAGCAATATAGGAAAGTGATGGAGATGGATGATGACGTTTTATACTTTATAGAAGAAAGCAAAGGTAAACCACTCCAGTGTCCTACCAAGCAAACCACGCAGATCAGAGAAGACATCTAAAACAGGTGCTTAACTTTTCAAGCATACCTGCTTCAGTACAAATTTAAAATCTTTAAACATATTTGCATTCATTTCTTCTTTCATTTCTTCCTGATTAAAGAGATATTTTTAAAAGAAATTTAAAGAAAAACTTTACACACGAAACTGTTGAAGCTGAATATCATGATTTTAGATCAGAGGTGGTATTCAGCCAGTTCTGACAGGTTCTAGAGAACCGGTAGCGGAAATTTTGAATAGTTCAGAGAACCACCTCTGGTTGGCCCCGCCCCCATCTATTCGCCGCCTCCCGAGTCCCAGCTGATTGGAGTCCCAGCTGATCGATGGGGTCTGCTTTTGTAGCCCTGCACAGGAGAACAGAGCTGGAAAGCAGGTCAGTGGGGTGGAAATGGGGATTTTACAGTATCCTTACCCTGCCATGCCCACCAAGCCACACCACATCCACCAAACTACACCACGCCCACCAAGCCATGGCCACAGAACCGCTAGTAAAAAAGTTTGAATACCACCACTGTCTTAGATGTATTGTTAAACAATTCTGAACAACGTTGGGAGTAATGTATTGAGGGAACAATACTTTGCTAGTTTGAACTATATCAAAACCCTTTGTTCTCTATAGGGCAGAGAAGTAAAAAGGTGACCAACAAGAAAAAAAAAAAGGATGAATCTGATGAGACAGAAACAACTTTGTTTTATAATTTTATGGTACATCCAAAGTTGTTAGTAGAGCTTGGACAAATGATAGTTTCTCACAGGACAGTGCAATTTGTGTATTTATGAATGAATTTACTAGCCTGTTTTGTCATAATGAAATTAGGTATGATCATAACATTAACTCAGCGGGCATCCTCTCTCAGAATCTGAATCCCATTGTATGCCTGTAGGGACTAAATTTGAGAAAGCTCTGGCCAAACAATTAGCCTGCAAACAAAATTTGTGAGGTTGGCTATTTGGGGCTCCCAGGAGACTTTTATTTTATTTTTATTAAAATAAAAGTTTACACTGGAACTTGTAAAAGTTCTATTGGTTTCGCAGTTATGCACATTCTGCATAAAGTGATATAATTCAAATGGCAAATGTCCTCTGTCTTTTGTAATTTTGCTACCGATCAAAAGATAAATGAAATGAGTCACCTGATCGTCAGAATTTGGATTGCCATCCAAATGAGATAGGACATGGTGCATGGACAGTGCCAAGGGAGAAGGCAAGCAACAGAGGGGCCAGTGATTCAACTGTGGTGACCAAAAGAATTAGAGGTCAAATTTTCAGGCAGCAAGCAGGAAAAAAAAAAAGATGGACTGTCTTAACAACAAATATAAATTTTTTAGATCCAGCACGCCTAGCTATGGGGCTATTTATAACACCTTATGTTCGGGCAAGGGCTGCAACTATTTGAGATTTCTAGAGCACAGATTTTTTTCTGCCAGGTTTAAAGAAGGAATAGAGCATCAGAGTCTGACTTCAGAGAGCCATTTCCTTGTATCCCCACATGATGCCTTAAAGCAGAAGTAAATAACCTGCTACTCTGTTGATGTCTTGTAGTTCCTATAAGGTCTGGTTATTAGGACTCATGTCTGGAAATTATGGCACTTATAATCCCAAACATCTGGCAAGTATCTTATACTTGCCCATAACCTGAAGACTTCTAACCTTGCAACGGAAATGCTTTTCTGTCTCCTTCCCCTGGATCTGGCACATAATAGACCTTCTGAGGATCCAACTTTTCCTTTCAAAGGAAAACAGACTGATAGATGTAGTCATAAAAAACTGAACTGCTCTCATGAGAAACTGCACATTGCAGCAAGATGGCCACCTGTACACTGATTCCAAGTGACCAAGAAGCTAGGCAGGTGCATATGAGAAAGATGACTTTTGGGGGGAGGGGGTGTCCAACACTCCCCCCTGCCCCCCCTTCTTTACTCATCTCAATTCATCTGCAAATGTTGCTAATCCTTCCTCCAAAACCCCTGGCTACAACCATGTTATCGCTCAGGGTTTGTGGGCTGAGCATACTGATTTGCTTCTTAATTATAATCTGCATTTATCTGTGCTGCTTCAAGTGTTTGGGAATTTATTTTATTTTAATTTAAGATTCAAAGCAGTGTTAGAAGAATAATTTGGGGTTCCAACTCGAGCCAGGGTTGCGCAAGAATAAATAGAAATGAAATCCGGAGAGCTGTGAGGAAAGAAGAAATATTTATCCCTAAAAGCAAGCAATTTGCCTTTGGGTGCAGCTGCTGAGAATTGGGGTACAGCAGCAGACTTTTATAGGGAGAGCTTGTCCAGGTATGGAAGGGTCTATGTGCTGATTCTAGGGTGACACTTGAAGGGTGTGTGTGTGTGTGTGTGTGTGTATTCTTGTGAACGTGCAGTTCTGCTGAGAGACCTAATTTAACCAACAATATTTGTGTTTGCAGACCTTATCCTTTGATATGTAGATTAGATCTGGGTAACTTATTCTGGAGTTTGATGAAGTTTAGGTAAAAAAAATTCCCCCCTTTGCTATTTTTCACTTGATTAATTTAGTTTCAGCTTGACTGTCAATTATCTAGTGGAGACTCTGATTCTCAGACCTCTGTGGATTCTGTGAATGTTTTAAGGGATGATGGAAACAGTATAAGGAATAAAATATGTTTGGATATAAAACTTCTCACAGCAGGAAAAGATAAAATAGAACTGCTTCAAAACATAGTGGATAGAAGTCCAGCAATACTTACCTCCCTTTCCCCAAAGAAAGCCAAATATTTCCCTTTTTCTATAGGCAGCAACTAAGTATAATCCTAGCAATAGCCAGAAGGTACTTAACAGTAAATGTTCATTAATATTCCAACA